CTCAGTTGCTTATAATCCACCAATGTACATGCACATTCACTCAGCTAAAGTCACGTTGTGCTGTGGTCTCTAGTAGGAGTTCAAATGCCATGGATCCTCAGGGAAGGAAAGGTTCATTCTGACTAGGGAGACCCACCCATTTGTGCACACGTTGTCGAGCACTGTGGCAGGCAGCCTCCACGATGGCCCCCCAATGGTCCCCACGCCCTGGTTGTCACATCTGTGTGCAGTGTCCTCCCCTTGAGTGTGTGTGCTAGACCAAGTGGCTCACTTCTAACAACTAGAATAAGCAAAAGTGATGGACTGTCACTTCTGAGAGCAGGTTACAAGAGGACCGTGACTCCCATCTGGCTAGCTCTCCCTACCTCAGCCCTCACTCCGGTGACACGCAGCTGCTGTGCTTTGACTAACATCATGGAGAAGCTCATGTGGCAAGGAAATACTCAACAGCCAGCCAAGACCCAAAGCCTGACGGGAGCCACGACAGGGAGCTTGGAAACAGCGCCCCCCACAGTTGACCCCTGAGATGACTGCAGCCCAACTGAAACCTCGATTGCTGCCTTGTGGGAGACCTGAGCCACCGTCAACCAGGTTGCACCCACACCTAAACTCCCGCCACAGAAGCTATGAGCTAATAAATATTCTCATTTTAAGTTGCTACATTTCGGGATAATTTGTTACACAGCAACAGATGACTGATACAAACACCTACTATTTTCAGGTCTTAAGGTATTTGAGGTCTTAAGAAAAATGAGTGATGCCTGGGCACTGTGTCTGGGGACAGGGAGACAGGTATGCACACAGACACGGTACTTACAGTCGAAGGTGCTAGGTGTGATGACGGACAGGGGCTGAGCGTGAAATAGGAGCACAGAGGGAGGGATCCTTACCCAGAGGAGGAAGGGAGACGAGGAGAGTCGTCCAGGAGCGGAACATACTTCTAGGGAAAATTGAGGGAGGGTCATTCTATGGCTAGGCGACAGCGTAAGAATGCCTGAAGCGGAAATGGTGCGTTGTCTGCTGGGGGTGCAGCACTGTAGTCTGTGTGCAAAGCAAGAGGTGAAGGAAGGGGAGGCCAGAGAAATGACTAAAAACTAATCTAGTCTCATGCCAGTAATTTATCTTGAAATGATCGACATTATGAACTCCTGCTCTGAGTGAACGGCAGTAAAAACAAAAGAGTTAATAAAAGAAGTAGTGTGTTCGCAACAGTCCAACACCTGAATGTTAAGAAGCCAGATTCAATTACCTACAGAACACAGACAAGTGTAATTCGTTTCATTGTTTTGCTTATAAAATTTTGAGCCAGGCACAGTCGACATATTTCCCGGGAATAATTGTGGCTCCTGGTGAGAAACCAGCTCAGGTGATGTTTGAGGCATTTACAAGTGGGAAATTGGCCCTTTTAGCTTCAGGGTGTTACAAATCTATATTTTGAAAATCTGAAAAGAAGTTTGGAAAGAAAAGCTTGTTTTCTGCTTAGTTGATTGTTTCCTCTCTTTTTTTCTTCCTCCCACCTCCCCCCCTTTTTTTCTTTCCTTCCTTTTTTCCCCTTCTCTCTCCCCATCTTTCTTTCTTTCTTTCTTTCTTTCTTTCTTTCTTTCTTTCTTTCTTTCTTTCTTTCTTTCTTTCTTTCTTTCTTTCTCTTTCTTTCTTTCTTCTTTCTTTCTTTTTTTCTTCGGGATGCTGAAGAATCCATAATATGTCTAGACTCTAAGCATCAGCTTTGCAAAGGATGAAAAGGAAGTAAGCGAGCCCCTTGGGGGCTCATATTTGTACAGGCTGGATAATGTTTTAATGTCTGTCTTCCCCCCCGGACCTGTAAGCAGCTTGAGAGCGTGGGCTCCACCCTGCTCATCTTTATCACCTAACGCAACGTCAGCCCATAGTAGGTGCTTAGTAAATATTTGTTGTACAAAATTGAAATATACATGCTTATTTAAACACTGGTATTGATTGGGGCTCCTCCTTAAGCTAACCACTGTGCTAAGCAATTTGGGGGGATGTAAAGAGAATTACGAGCTGGCTTTTACCTTTGATGAGTTTTCAGTCTGGTTACTAGACTCTAGCGGAAACTATCTTATTCATCTTGGTGCCCCAGTGCCTGGGACAGTGCTTGGCACATAGCTGGCACTCCGTAAGCATTTGTCGATTAACTTCACGTGTCTGGGCTAGAAGAGTCTCTCCAGACTGGTCATGCTTTGTCTACCCCTCCAAATCTGCCAGCCCAGCAAACTCAGTTCCGCAGAATGACTCCCAGTGATCCAACAAACTATTATGGCTAGCCAGGAACAAAAGCCACTGGGAAAATAACGCATCACTTTTCATCTGGGTGTTTCAAAAGGAACTGGGGCATTAAAGTCAAGTCACAGTTGTCCCAATCAGATCATCTTTTCAAAGGAATTACAGGGTTGGGAGCCAGCAGCAACCACATACACCTTTGCAGTAATCAGAACCAGTGTTCGCAACACTGAAAGCAAAATCAAGTAAACAAGCTCGTGTTGTGGACTTCCTTGACCCAGACTTTCAGGAAGGAGCTGACACACTGCCCAGACTCGCGCTCACCCACATAGCTCAGAAGCCAAACAAACCCGAGAAGCTCGTGTTTTCCCAGCTGCGTGATGCACTCATTTCACCAAGCGGCTGGCCAGAAAACAAGGAAAAGGAAAAAAAAAAAAAATATGCCTCATTCAGACCACTCAAGGAAAGAAGAATTGCTTCAGCTGGCCTTTGTTTTTTATTTTCCTGAAGTATCAAGATATGTAAAAATAGAGGAAGTTAGATCTATGGCTTTTAGTTACTAAAAAGGAAACAAAATATTTTTTTTTTCTTTTAGAGATCTGAACATGTTATTACTCTTCTTAAAAACTTCAGTGACTTTCTAGTTTATAATCTTCAAACCCCTCCGTATCACTTCCAGGTCTTTCCCAACTTGTTTAAAACAACCTTTCTGGCCACGCTGGCCCCATTTCCTCCCACTCAAAGCTGTGAGCTGTGCCAGGCGCCCATTGTCTTAAATCCTTCATTTGCTTTCTTGCCTACATGCTTTTGTTCATGCCATTCCTTCTGCTTGGAATACCTTTCCTTACCTTAATCGAGAGAGAAACTCCAACTCACCTTTCGAGATCAGCTGAAAAGGCCATTTCTCACTGTCACTCGCCCTAATAGCAGAATTAGCTTCTCTTTCATCTGTCACCCCGTGAGACTACTTTGTGTGTGCCTCTTATTGCACTTTTTTTCCTGTATCATTCATTCACTCCACAACATTCATTGTCTTTGGACTTGACACCAAGTACTATGCTAGGTACTAGGGACCCAGGCATACAAGTCCCTATCTAGCGGGGAACTCAGAGAAGCAGATCAATTGTTACAAGACAGAATTATAAGTGTTTTAGTAAAGGTAAGCAGAAAGTGCTTTGGGAATCAGAGGAGGGTCACATACCCCAGTCTGAATGGGGGGAGAGAATTCCGAAGGCTTCGTGGAGGAGGCAACACCTGAACAGCCTAAAGGACAAGGAGTTTTTGTGTCCATCTCCTCACTCTTGGCAGAGCACTCCTTGAGGAAAGAGATCATAGATCATAGATCATATCAAATCAGGTCATTTATTCCACACATGTTTACTGAGCTCTTTGCTAGGAGACAAGCACTCCCAGGAGTAGCTTGGGAACTAGAGAATAGCAGTAGGGAGGGAGAGAAGTCAATGAATGAAATATTAGAGAAAACCAAGAATGAATCTCAGGTTTCCGGTTTAGGTGAATGGGTAGAGAGTGGATCAGGGCTGCCATGTGCAGTTTTGCAGGCTGTGAACTCACAATGGAGGAGGGGCAAGTTCAATGGGGAAGAGTCTTATTCTTGATACCACAGTGCTAATACTTGATTTATGATATTGGAATGGACTAGAATGGAGAGAACTGTTTTGTTTTCTTAAAACAATGAATGAATATCTTCTGTTCTCTCTTGAGTGGACCAGAAAATCCACTTTCCTGCTACATTCACTTGGCTCCTTACTTTGAGACAACAGAAATCCCTATCGTGAATCATTCATGTCTTTCTCACATCTCTTCTGTCTTTATTTTTTTATTTTATTTTATTTTTTTTTCTTTAAAACAGAAAGTCTCCAAGTATCTTCTGTCTTTAGACCATTTTGACACTTCTATCGGAGGAGATTTTAGGATTTTCTGTTTAAATGAAGCTTGAAAATTAGGTATAAAACAGAATAATGTATTAAGTGATTAATTTTAAATTAATTATGGGCTTATTAATAACATCAACTATTGTTAAATTAATTACCCAGAACTGCCTGTAGTTATTAGAATTATTTCAAGCTACAGTTTGATCATCTCACAGTAGAGGAAATATCCTTTAACCTGAAATTTTATTTCCTTTACTTCTATCCTATTTTTTCTATTATGTAGTGGAAGAAATTTAAGCAGGAATTTGATCATGAAGGGTTCTTTATTAAGACAAATAATCCCTTCAAAAAATTTTTAATGCATCCTTAATACACCCTAAATAATTCCCTCTTTAAAGTTTGGCTCTTTCTAAAACATCTCTTGAGTTACCATTCAACTTCCTATTACATTTAGACAGAAACATAAATCTTTTAATAAATGCACTACTTTAAAATGTATCCAGGCCTCTCAGTAAAATCAGCTCTTTATTATTCTTGATTGATATTCTTTGTCTTTTCTATCTCTTTCTAGCTGCTGGGCCCCAACATATGTATCTCATAAGAGTAGAAAATACCATCTACAAAAGACAGCTGGGACGGAAAGCTGAGCTATCATCCCTCTGCACTGCCTATTTTTTCTATTCAGCCTCACTGACAACATACTTAATTTGCTTTTTGTTATGAGCCCTATTCTCTCCCTATTTTTTTCTGTATTTTGTTCTCCAAATGTATTTCTCTTTTGAACTATTTGATTATGGACTGTATTATCTTTTTATCCGCACAGTTTAGATGAAATCTTATTACTAGATTGATCACTTTGGATTCCAGACATCTTCCTTGTGATTAGGTGGGAGAGAGACAGGAGGCGAAGTTCACCTTTGCATAATCTATGAGTAAAGGTTTGTCAAGTACCTGCATAGCATGCAAGGTAGTGATCATGATTAGTGTTTTTACGAAGTACAAAGGGTTATTGGTAGATGCACCTTTTCTACAATATCATTCTTTTTTTTTTTTTTTTTTGAGCAGGGAGTAGAATCAGATACAATATCATTCTTGATTACTTGACAATTTTATCTATTAGTAAAAACAGATCTCTAAGGCAATCATCTCTAAATCTTTGCCTGCACACTCCAAAAAATTTGAAAACTATATACCTCTCATCCATTTTTTAAATAAACTTCTAAAAAGTTTCATGAGAAGTTTAAATAGTTGTAAAGGATATAATTTTGGACATATTATAAATATTGCCATATAAAAATACAGGTCTTATATTACTCTCTTAAATGTTTCCCAAGGAATTCTAAACATCACCACAAACTACCATGTTTGATATCCATAACCATCTAGTTGAAATTACATGAACAAGCCCTTCTTTAATAAACATTTTCACCATTTTTTCTCCATTCCACTTCTACAGCAGAAATTATTTCTAAAATTAAGTTGTAATACTTGAAAGTCTTTTACTGGTCATTTTATCATAATTCTCTACCTCCACAACAAAAACACAAACTAAATATGTAAGGTGAAGGCTGCAAGTGTTTTAAATTCATTTCTGGATTTAGCTATCATTAGCACAGTCAAAACAACAGACACATATTACAAATTTTAATGCATAATTATTAAAGTAAATTTTTATTGGAATTGCATTTATTAGTAAGCTGACTAGTTGTTTTTTTTTTTTCACTTGCTTCTTATACTCACAAATGAATTATTTATTGCTAGAATGAGACAGGGTGCAGCATCCATTCTATTCCTATTTATTATTTTTACAGATACAGGCATTGAGAAACTGTGTTTACATCAATAAGTAGGTGGAGATAGACTTAACAGCATTGCCACTCAAGTCTAAACTATGTCAGAGACATAAGACAAAGATCACATAATCATTTACCATAAAAATATTTTTAATGATCTATCAGCTGATAATTCAATTAGGATATCCTTCAATTTCATTGAAAGCAAAGATGTGGGAACCACAGGAGTTACAGCAGGATTTATTCCCCAATCATTAGAATCCAGTTAGGTGTTGATATTTGGAATTCTCCCTTTGTAGCACAGAGGTTTGTAGACCTTGGAGCAGTGCCCAGGGTAAGTCAGGTCAGCAGAGAGCTGTGCTTTTCTCTTGTAGGGTGGGAGAATGGACCTGGTGGACAGAGAAGCAGGGAGAGGAGAACCTTAATGAGGAGTCCTCAGACACATGAATTTTTGGAAAGAGTACTTATGGTAATTGAGGATCTGAAATTGAGTCTTTAAAATCCTTTGGAAAGCCCTCAAATAGTACACCAACTTGAACACCACTGGTATAAAGATCTCTACCAGGTATCATTATTTGTTGACTTGACAATAGCACTTTTTCTTTTCTCAGAAGACCTATTAATATCTCAAAGAGCCAATGTTCTTAGAATACTTGGAATACGAATCTCAATACCTTGGAGATTCATTTAATAAATCTTAATTGGCTCCCAAAGTAGGTAATAAAATCTAAAGCTGTGAGCTGGATGTTGTTGCAGTTTTAGAATAGATAGGAAGATGATGATGATGACAATTTTAGCTATTGTTACTGTGTTAGTTTCACACAGCAGAGACCCCAACAAACACTGGGAAATACCAGCAATAAGGTACTTGTCTCACACAACAATAAATTTCTGGGCAGATAGCCCTGGACAGTGGCTCAACAATGTCATCAAGTACCCAACTCTTTCTTTTTTTTTTTTTTTTTTTTTTTGAGACAGAGTCTCACTTTGTTGCCCAGGCTACAGTGAGTGCCGTGGCGTCAGCCTAGCTCACAGCAACCTCCAACTCCTGGGCTCAAGTGATCCTTCTGCCTCAGCCTCCTGAGTAGCTGGGACTACAGGCATGTACCACCATGCCTGGCTAATTTTTTCTATATATATTAGTTGGCCAATTAATTTCTTTCTATTTATAGTAGAGACGGGGTCTCACTCTTGCTCAGGCTGGTTTCGAACTCCTGACCTCGAGCAATCCTCCCACCTCGGCCTCCCAAAGTGCTAGGATTACAGGTGTGAGCCACCGTGCCCGGCCCCAACTCTTTCTATCCTGCCACTCCTTAGCCTGAACCTTGTGCTTGTTGCCTCATGGTTGCAAGGTGGCTGCTCTACCTCCAGCCTCACAGTTGCGATCCAGGCAAGAAGAGAGAAGGAGGCAGAGTCAGAGGGGAAAGGACTTGCTGCTCAGAAGCTCTGCCTTTTTTTTTGGAAAAGTCAAGGACTCCTGTTTACATCTCACTGGCCATAACTGGGCTTTGTGGCCACCCCTAGCTTCAGGGGAGCTGGAGTATTTCCTCTTTTACCTTTTCTAGTAAAGGAAAGCAAAGAAGAGGGTGTTTGAGAATAGATTTTGAGTGAACCAATTTACAGGATCTACCACATCCTTCTATTCTGAGCCAGGCATGTTATGTTACATATATTACATCTGTTACAACATCCTATGAGATAGTTTTTATTATCCCCGTATTTCAGACAAGGAAACTGAAGCTCACTAAGGTTAAAGTAACTTTACAACCTATCATAACTAATTTGTCACAAAAGTGAAATTGGAACCAGTTCTTGTGACTCCAGCCTGGGTTTCCGTCTCTGACCCCCGCACAGTCTGCGGGCTATTTGGCTCTACGTCCTGACACACTCCATCTCCTTCTGGATCATTTCTTCTATTGAGACCACTCTCCTTTCAGATATCCCAATAGCTCCCTCGCCTCCTCTAAGGCTCTGCTTACCTGCCACCTTCTCAGGGAGGCCTGCCCTGGCCGCCCTGTTTAATAACGCTGCCCTTTCCACTCCCTCCCCGACACCACCCCCCCTCCTCACCCTGCCCTGCGTCCCCACCGCACGCATCCCCGCTAACGCAGGACGCACCTTATTGACGTATCTGTTATGCCCACAGACGGTCTCCCGCCACAAGGCCGAGACAGTGATGCTCACCAAATACTCCACACGCTCCCTCACATTTCCTGGTCTCTGTGTCGTTAGGTGAGGCCGTGTGGTTAGTCCTGAGAGAAATGGATGTGGCTCGTTTCCACACTGCAGAACTGACAAACCCACGGAAAGTTCTTCAGCTTCTCTCTCTTTCCTCTGCGATAGCAACCAAGGAGTCTCAGCTTGCGAAGGTGAAGCCTACTGGGCCCCGAGTCACTGCGTGGAGGACAGTTGCCCTGCAGAATCACAATCAACTTCGTGCAAATGAGAAATAAAGGATTTGAAATTTTAAAAATATATTAATACAGGCCAGGCGCAGTGGCTCACGCCTGTAATCCTAGCTCTCTGGGAGGCCGAGGCGGGTGGATCGTTTGAGCTCAGGAGTTCGAAACCAGCCTGAACAACAGCAAGACCCCATCTCTACTATAAATAGAAAGAAATTAATTGGCCAACTAATATATATGGAAAAAATTAGCCGGGCATGGTGGCGCATGCCTGTAGTCCCAGCTACTAGGGAGGCTGAGGCAGGAGGATTGCTTGAGCCCAGGAGATTGAGGTTGCTGTGAGCTAGGCTGATGCCACGGCACTCACTCTAGCCTGGGCAACAAAATGATATTCTGTCTCAAAAAAAAAAAAAAAAGGATATATATATATATAAATACAAATAAAATTTTTAATTAAAGATTTAGAAAAGAAATGAAGCATTATTTTATTAAGTCACTGGTATTTTGCAGCCACTTGTTAATACAATATAATTTAGATTTTCCTGACAAATACACCCCATCAGAATATAAGGTCCCCAAGAGCAGGATTTGTATCTGTTTTGCTCTCTGATATATTCTGGGGACCTGGATCAGTGACTAGCACTTAATAGTCCCTCAAGTCCCCCAACAAGTAAACTTGTGGAGTAAATGAGTAGACTCCTAGACACAGATTATAACTCTGACCCAGTCCAATTTCTGACGTTATCTAGAGTGTAGCTAATTCCTGGGACCTAAGATTGAAAGCTCCTTATGAGTAGGGACTCAATCACAGTCACCTCAGTTACTTACATATGGCCTTGCACATTGCTAATGCTCAGTAAATACTGAGTGACTAACAGCAGGGACTAGATGCCAGCCCAAGCTCTCCCCTGCAGCCCTCAGGTTGAGCACTCACAGTAGGACACGGCAAGAGGCCAATTCTAGTCCCTGCACTCCTACAGCCTCAGCACATAGTATTGTTCCTTCGCAGAAGCCAAGCAAGGCTCCTCTGCCTGCTGTCCCTCAGCTCCCCACTCTCCGTCCTAAAATCTGGCCTGTCTCCACATCTGCCCTCTCCTCCTCACTGCGCACCCTATTCAAGGGCAATCCTCGTGACTGTGCATCTTGCACTATTCTTCTTCTTTATTTTTTTAGAGACAAGGTCTCACTCTGTCACCCCGGATAGAGTGCAGGGGCACCATCATAGGCCACAGCAGCCTCAAACTCCTGGGCTCAAGCAATCCTCCTGCCTCAGCTTCCTGAGTAGCTGGGACTACAGCTATGTGCCATCAAGCCCAGTAAACTTTTTATTTTTTTGTAGAGATGGAGTCTTATTATGTTGCTCAGGCTGGTCTTGAACTCTTGGCCTCAAGCAACCTTCCTGCCTCAGCCTCCTGAGTAACTAGGATTACAGACATGGGCCATCACACCCAGCTGGGTTGCACTGTTCTTTCCAGTTTCCTACCTCTTGTTCATACCTCAGGCCGACATTTACTGGCCTCTGACACTGAAATTCTACTGAGCTCCCTCTTGTTGGTGGCATCCAAGACCTCCTGATTGCCAAACCCGGCAGGCATTTTTATAGGGTGTGATATGTTGCAGACCTTTGGCCAATCTCCTTGTCACCTTCTCTGCTACTTTGGCTCGCATGGCACCACACTTCCCTGGCTGTTCCTGTGCTCCCAGGGGCTCCTCATTCTCTGCCCACTCCCTCTGGGTCCCTAGGGTGCTGTCCTCAGCTCACTGCTCTGTGCACCCGACATACTCTCCCCGTGGTTTGTTTCAACCAGCACCTGGATACCGATGATTTCTCAATCTTCCTCTCCATCCCCCACCTCTCTCCAAAACTTTAGATGAGTCACACATCTCCATCTGGACAGCCCCGCCTGCATGTCCCATGGATCGGATGTCTCCTGTGCACCACCTCTCAGCACTATGGGCTGATCTCTGAGTCCATTAGAGGCTCTGACGAGTGGCTCTGCCCTGGCTTTGACTCAGTTTGCATTGATAGAACTTTTTTCAACAATTAGCTTACACTGTGCTTCGTGTCTCGGGGCTTCAGGGATGCCCCTGGAAGCCTGTTCATTCACTCTGGAAGCCTGTGGAAGTGCCAACACTTGTGCATGTGCAAGCCACATGTGGAGTTGGGTGGGGATAACCCTGCCTGGGGAAGCCCTGGCCCAGCGAGGTGGAGGACCAGAGAATAACCGCTTCTCCCTCTTATCTCCTGGGTGCACAGTCCTGAGACGCCTCCTTATTTCACCCTCCCTGATCCCTCTCTCCTGTTTCTTTGGGTCACTTCCCAAATAAATGACCCAGACACAAACCTTTGTCCCAGGCCTGCCTTTGAGGGAATCTAGGCTAAAATATCCTTTAGACCCCTCTCTGTCGATGTGTCTAAAACAGAACTCATCGTCTTGCCCCCAGTTGAACTCCTCCTCCTCTACTCTCCTCCCACTCAGTCTTCAAAGCTGCCACTGGAGCTCACTGTTGACTCTCCCCTCTTACTTATCCCGACCCGAAGTCAGTCCTGACTCTGCCTGTCCACCCTCCCCTGAAACCACTGCGTAAGCCCCTGTCATCTCACCTTCGCTGCTCCCATCCTCCCAAATCCATCCTGCCCCCAGTTGCCAGCATGAAATAGCTCAAGCGTACAACGCGCCATGGCATTTCTTTACTTAAGCCCCATCAAAGGCTCCATGGGAAAGATGAAATCCAGGTACTTTATTATGACATGAGGCCTTCTGGGAGCTGCTCCTTACGCACCTCTCCAGCATCTGTGGACTGCGTACGCTTCCCGGCAGTTCCCAGTGTGCCCGCGCCAGAGGGAAAGGCAGTGCTCATCTTTTTGGTTTTTTTTTTAGACGGAGTCTCACTCTGTTGCCCAGGCTAGAGTGAGTGCCGTAGCATCAGCCTAGCTCACAGCAACCTCAAACTTCTGGGCTCAAGCAATCCTCCTGCCTCAGCCTCCCGAGTAGCTGGGACTATAGGCATGCGCCACCATGCCCAGCTAATTGTTTCTATATGTATTAGTTGGCCAATTAATTTCTTTCTATTTATAGTAGACACAGGGTCTTGATCTTGCTCAGGCTGGTTTCAAACTCCTGACCTCGAGCAATCCGCCTGCCTCGGCCTTCCAGAGAGCTAGGATTACAGGCGTGAGCCACTGTGCCCGGCCAAGGCAGTGCTCATCTCAAATCTTTTGCTGTGTGCTCTGGGGAGCACCCCAGCTGCAGAGCTGCTATGTAGACGGGTCCGCAGAGCTGTTCTCTAGAGTCCATCACGGGATCTCTCTGGGCTCACGAGTCACAGTGCACAGGTCACAGGGCAGACAGGATGAGGGCTGCGAAGAGCCCTGGAGGGACAGTCAGAACAGCCAGCTTCCAGGCCTTCTCTGACACATGTCAGCTGGGTGTCCCTGGGTAAATTCCCTGTTTTCTGCATTCACGACGTGGGAAAATACCACCTAATTGCACAGGGTATGCGGAGGGCGTATAAGAAAGTAAGCGTGGTGATGGTGAGGATGGCTAACATTTAATGAGCACTTACCAGGGAGACAGTGGAAGTAGAAGCAGGTCATGGCTCTGCTACTAACTCAGTGAAGTCTCTAAGTCCGTCATTTCCCGTGTCTTGACCTCAGTCTCACCTTGGAAGCAATGGCGTTGAACTAGTTCAGAGCTTTTGGACTGGGCAGCTGCTAATATCCTTTACAGCTATAAAATTCCGAGTTCCATTCTGAGTTTACGAGCTAGCACACGGAGCTACTGCCTGTCCCCACGCGGGCTGTGCGTCCATCTCCTTTTCACCCTGGCGTGCTCCCTGGGCGCACTCAGCACGCTGAAGGTGACCTCGCCCAGCCCTTGCATCAGCCTCCTCCCCCCCTGTGGAGGGGAAAAGAGGGCTGACGGCGTCCTCAGATGCCACAAAGTTACAGATGCTGCATCTCTTGCACTTTTTCTTTTTGTCCCGTACCCAGTAACAATGAAGACAATTCTGTCCAAAAAAGCCATCAAGTTTTTTTTTGGCATGAATCGTGCTGTTCAAATCCATGGAATTTACTGTCATATCACGGCCACGTTGGACAGATTCTTATCAGAGCCAAGTCACATCCAGGAAAGCCTAAGCCTGTTGTCGCTCTGCACGATGTCTGATCGCACAAGGCCTCCGCGCCCGCCGAGGTGTCCACCCGCCCTCCTGATGGCCTGGCGTCGGGGAAGACGGACACCGGTGCTCTGACCTCTCTAAAAGAGCGTCTCTGCTGTAATCAAGGGTTTGGGTTCATTTGTTAACTTGTTTTCTCCCATCCTTCAATGCTTTGCTGTTCTCTTCCTGTTTGAAGGGAAAATGTAATGGAGTAAATGTATTCTGGGTATTTTCCCCTTTCTATTGCTGCTGAAAGTTGCACTCCCCATTTCTGACAAGCTTCTCTTCATAGCTGATCATATTTACATGATGTTCAATGACCAACTGCTTCCTGCATAATTAAAGGAGTTAGAATAAAAATCCCAAAGTGGATGTCAGTTGGAAAACACTTACCTGGCCCAGGTGAGAGTGGTCGAAGTGCATCCAATCCATGCCAAGGAAGACAAGAAGCCAGGCAGAGAGATTGTTCCTTTATTTCTTCTAAAGTTGGAGGTTCATGGAAGGGGGCTCCTGGGGAGGTTTTCTCAAGGGGAGAGCTATGGGCAGAGAACCTAGGATGACACTTGGCCTGCATCCCTTCCTTGACACCTTACACCTTTGGCATCTAGTTGGCTGTGGGTAGGGTGAGGGAAGCATGGGATGGAGGAAGAGATTTGCCGCCTCTGACTTCCCCTCATGACTCCTATGTCATATGAACACTGACTGGTTACATTTCAAAGTATGTCACAAGTAATCACTGAGTGCATACTGTGCATGAGCCAGGCTCTGTACTAGGCACTGGAGCTACATGCAAAGCAGACATAATCGCATAATCCAGGGTATTCACAATCTACTGCAACCAATATTCCAGTCAGACATGGAAAATGTCAAATGAGTTCAAAGAATGTGGCCCACTTGGATCTCTCATAGCATTATTGCTGGTATAATTAAGTTATTATTTGAGCATATTCGTTAGTGTTGGTCTTCCCTTTTAGACTAAACATCCCATAAGGACAAGGATCCCGTTACCACTGTAACCTCTAGCACAACACCTAGCCCATGAGTAAGGGGCATTTGTGAAGAAGGAAAGGAGAGAGGGAGGGAAGGAGAGAAGGAGAGGCAGGATGAAATAGATAAGAGAGAGACAGAAAGAGAAAATGAGAGAAACAGAAGAGAGAGGAGGGGAAAGGAGAAAAAAGGTAGATTCATACCCTGGAAGAAGGGTGAAGCGACACTGTGAATAAACTCGGGATGTGTAGAGGGAAGCCGGGCGTAGAGAAAGCAAGGAAGTGGTTAAAAGTGAGTGAAGGTCAGGTGCTGATGGGAGGTTGCACAGGAAGAGGCTGTTTCATCCGGGGAAAATCTGCACCAGAATGTCTGGGAGCTGCTGTGCCGAGCCTGGGGGCTGCCACAGGCACGCCCTCGCCCCTGCCCAGGCTGAGTGGCACCCAACTCTGCAGAGGGCCACACTTCCGGCTGGACCTGGGCACGCCGGGGAGCCCAGACCTGCGCCGGCACTGCGCCAAGGGGCCCGAGCGCTCACTCTGGACTCAGACAGGCTTGCTTTGCCTCCGGCTTGTGCTGCGGAGAATCTCAGGTTTCTCCCAAGAGCTGTGGGGTGAGGGGCTGCGCTAGGGAGGACCTGCGACACCTGTTGCAGGCGGCCCCGGACTCCCTTCATGGAGAAGCATTCACCTCTGCTCTTGATCCTCATAAACTGCGGCTCTAGTTTGTTGTTTCTCATCCTTAGCAAGAGTAACACCACAATGACACCCTTCTCACTGTTTCGTAGTTGCCTTCTGTTTCAAATCGGACTTTGGTCTTACCTCCAAAAACCATATTTTTCACCATTAATGTTGGGCATGAGGGTGTTACTTGCTTTGGCCAATGGAATGTCAGCAAATGTGATATAAAAAGGTGCCATAGCATCACAGGACGGGATTGGACAAAAAGAAAGAAAAGGTGCCATAAAGGTTTGCACAGTTTGGTTTGATCTCGCTTGCTCCTGCCACTTATCCTGACAAAAGCATGCCACCATCCACCTTGAGAAAAATATGCTGTGGATAGCAGCTGGGCCAGGGATGATGAGAGAAACGTGTTGGCAAGCTGGAACCCAATCCAGACAAACTAGCAACCTAAAGCAAAGCCACCCATCCGTGCCCATCCAAGATTAATCCACCTGGAGTCAACCTGCATCACCTGAGCATGGAAAAAATATTCTTATGTAAGTCCAAGAAATAAACAAATAAAAGCCACATTTCCAAAGATTGTGATAGGCAGTCTGAGAAAATCACAAGGTGCACTTACAGAAGGAACCCTGGGAAGGCCAGGCAGCCCCAGTGGAGGGTATGTGTGCCAGGCCTCGTGCTGAGCGCTTGCTGTTGCAGTACTTCATCCGATCTCTGCGGCAGCCCTGCAGGGCAGGTATCCCCGGGATTCCCCGTTGATGGGGAAGGAAAATAGGCCCAGCAGGCTTCAGTCACCTCTCTGCAGTCTCTCAGCCACACACGGTAGAACACCATCTGCAGGGCTGACCCTGGAACCCCAGGCCGGGCCCAGACTCTCCAGCCCCAGCCAGGCCAAGGTCAGGCAGGCAGGCCTCGAAGGTGGTGAGCGGCCGTTTTAGATGAAACATGGACCAGTGATTTCTACAATATGGTTACATTGATTATCAAAGCGTCCTTCTTTATTCTTGACAGCTGATTCTCATTTTTCATTTACTGTAATGCTAGAAAGTTTTATTTAATTAAGTTAGAAAGTGAACGTTTAAAAGACAAATGTTCAGAGAGCAGGGGCGCAGCGGGTCTGTGATAAGGAAAGAGCGAAGGTGGATGACTCAGGTGATCTGTGGGATCCCGGGCCGCCCTCACGGCTGATTTGATCTTTGCTGTTGGACTCTGTGACGCTGGCAGTCTGCCGACCTTCACGGGACACGCGTCACATTGGGCCTGTCCTGGTCGATCTCGCCGGTGTGGGTCCGTCTGGTCTCTGGGTCAGGGTGCCCCACCTTGACAGGATAAACACCAGGAATCAGGGAAAGGGTGATCTGGCAAGGAAGCGTCTCCAGCTGCAATTGGCACAGGACACACAAGGGCTCACTAGGGTGGAACACGAAAGACGGGGATCCCCTCTGTCCTCAGCACGGGACCTGGAGCAAGTCAGGAGCGGCAGTTGGGTCCAGGCGTGCACAGAGAGGGTCTCTGGAGGGAAGGGGCTGCGTTTACCAGGGGGCTGCAGCCTCAGAGGTTTTCTGCTGTGTCGCAGTGAAGAAGACCTATTTCAGGCCTATGTGCCAGTGACTCTGAACTTTACACTTTCTGTGGGCACAAAGCCTCCCATTCTAGGTACTCATTAAATTTGTTCTCAATTCCCTCCCTTCCCACTGACCCTGGAAGAGAACATTCCACACAGAGGACCACAATTCTGGTTGGTTAGGCACCCAGCTCTGTTCCTCCACTTACCAAAAACTAGAGTCACAGCCATCTACTTCCCAGTGATTGCTGGGTGTTTCTTTTGCATGACCCAGTTCTCCCGAGACCGCTCCCTGAGTGAGTGGATGGTGATGTCTCAGACCTGCAAGGCTTTTACCAGTTCTCGGAAGAGAAATTATAAACCTATCTCCTGAAGTGCCCCTGCCACCTTCTCTGCTCCTCCCCCTCAGTAGCTGACGAGGTGAAGAAACTGTTTTTGACCAGTGAGCACAAAAGCAACAGTCCTCTTATGTCAGGACTCTTAGGCCACAATAGCTAACAACAGGCCAATAGTGCAGGTAACTTGACCTACCATTTTAAAGTTGTGTGCCTGTTGTGTTTGTGTTCACGGTAAGGAAAAGCTAGCAGTCTGAGCAAATGTTTTTGAGCAGATGATTCCTGCTGCTAGAATAAATAGTATTAGGCTTAAAAACAGGGGCATCAGAATCACACAAACTGGAGTTCGAATTTCTGCTCTGCCAATTAGCTGTGGCAATTTGTGCAGGTTACTTTACCTCTCTGAGTCTGTTTCTTCATCTGCGCCCGGGAGTGCTGAGTCCCCGGGGTTGCCTGGAGCGGAGATTCTTTGAGGTGCTCTCTGGTAATGAGGGTCTGATGTGGGAGGCAGGCACCTCACGCAGAGCGAGGAGGAACCATTCTGAGGGGCGAGGGCCGGGTACGGATCCCAGGGATCTGTTCTCTACTGCTCACCATCTATGCGAGCTGTCTGCTCTCCAAGTGTTCCCTGTCCCCTGTGCCTTAGTTTCTCTCCCTCCCCACATACCTTTCCTGTACCTCACAGCTGCTGCTTGCTCACGCCCTCACCTCAGCCGGGCTCACCGTGGCTCTCTGCCTCCTCATCTCTCAACTTCAGTCTTTGCAGTGAACTGATTTCCTCTACGTATCCCAACTTAAAATTTCTAAAAGCAACAGTCAATGTGGATGAAGCCTTTTGTCTTCTGATACCCTATAGGCCGCTGGCCGGCCAATGGGTTGGTTGCTGTTGGGTCCAGGCTCCCCCAGTCCAGTCAGGGCACCCCACGTTTTGCTGAGGTGGTAGGCAGGAGCGTTCCCCTTTAGAGGGATGCCAGGCATAGTGACTGGCCTATGTGGTAGCAAAAAAAATTTTTTTAAGTCTCCTAAGGTGACTGTGAAGAGTCCATGAGATAAAACTTGCAGAGGACCTAGCACAAAGCTAGGACACATCGTAAGTGTTCCGACAATGGTAGCCGTCATTCCTCTTCTTATAATGACATTGTTGTTTTCATTGTTACAATCTACCACCAACGCAGACTTTGGCTCCAAAAGCACAGGGTCATTTGTAGGCAGCTCATAGAAGATGCACTGGGTATTTTCCTAATACATTTAGTTCAACACCACTAAAGGGAGGGAGCAAGGCGAAAAGTAGAACCTCTCCATATACAAAAACTCCCCAGAGCAAACATGAAAAGTTCCTCTTAACATTATCTTTTAAAACTACTAATATGATCCTGTAAGCCTACCTAAACTCTTTTAAGGATTTCTCATTTTTCTTAAAAAAAAAAAAAAGACAAAAATTCTTCATAAGGCCTTAAGTGGTCTGCACCCCCACACACACTCCCCGCCCTTCCCAGCTGCCTACAGCACCTTGAACCCCTGCTTTGGGAGCTGCAGCCTCACTGGCCTCCTTAGGGCCCTAGCACACCTGGTTTGCATTCTTTGGAGGGCTCCACGCCCTGCTATTTTTCTGGATCACTCTCCTCCTCGCTTCTCCAGCCCTTTTTCCTAGTTCACTTCCACTCACCTTCTAGCTCTGTCGGAGTATTAGGAAGGCTTTCCCTAGAACAGGGTCTTTGTGATACACGCTCACAGAATCAAATGTGTTTTCTTCAGCCCTGTATTTTGCTAACAGGACTGTGTGGTTTGTGTCGGCTTCTCCACGCAGACTGTTGGTTGTTGTTCACTTCTGTGTCCTCCCAAACCTACGGTTCCCAGAACGTGCAGGCACTCAATAAATATCGGTTGAATAAATAAGTCAATGATAGTCTTCCTAGTAAATCCAACTAAATTATCGCCCATCTCAGAAGCTATGCCAACACTGGAAGGTAAAAATAATGCAATAGTATACTGTTTTTATAAGTCAAAAACACACATGCAAAGTTCACCGAATTTGACTCTGTTCTATGCCTAAAGGAAATAACAACACATTTTTTAAAAAACTGTTATTATACAGGCCACATTCATTAACCATAATGCAATAAATTTAGAAATGAACAAACGAGGAGCCAAAAGAACCCATACTCCTGAAATATAAAAACATACTTCTAAAGATCTCTTGCTTTAAAAAGGAAGTAAACTACTTGGAACTGAACCACAATGAAAGTAGCACACATCAAAACCAATGGGATGTGGCCAAAATAATTTTCAGGAAAAAACTGTAGCCTTACATTTATTTATTAGACTATAAAAAACACTGAAAAGAAAAACAAAGTAAAGCCAAGTAAGTGGTAAGAACTGAATTAATATAGAAGCAGAAATTAGTGATATAGGGGGAACACTCAGCAAAATTGATCAATAAAACCACAGATTTGCTTTTTTAAGATAAAAAATTATTTGGCTAGAATCATTAATAAAAAAGAGAAAATGCTTAATAAGTCCTGTCAAGTATGAAAAGGGATATGTACAAATATAAAGGATAGCTTTTAAAAGGAATATTAGGTACAACTTTATACCAATGAATTTGAGACCCAGATGAAAAAGATGATTTTCTAAGAAAATATAAATAACCAAAATTTGTCCAAGAAGTAGAAGACATTAATAAACTAATAGCCATTAAAGAAATTGAACTGTTAGTTAAAAATGTACCTCCTTCCAGCTCAAAATGCAATAGGCAATAGGCAAGTTCTTCTAAAATATAGAAGAGCACATAGTATGTTCATGACCTTAGGGGTACAAGCCTCCTTAAATCATTAAGACAAAGAAAAAGGTAAACAAATTTGACACATCAAAACTAAAAAATTATCTAGGACAAAAGATATCATTAAGAAAAAAATGAAAAGTTATGGTCTAGGTGAGAAAATATTTGCATTTTCTCCATTTGCATATGTACGTACACATACATATACAAACACATATAAGAGGTAAAAGAATAGTATCCTGGTGCTATTGACTGAATTGTGTTCCCCCCACATTTATTTGTTGAACCCCAAACCCTCAATGTGATTGTATTGGGAGATAGGGCTTTTAGGAGGTAATTAAGGTTAAATGAGGTCATAAGAGTAGGGTTCAAATCCTTGGTGGCCTTATAAAAAAAGGAAGAGATCTCTCTCACTGAAGAAAGGCCAGTGAGGACACGGTGAGCAGGCATTATCTGCAACCTGAGAGATGAGCCCACACCACTGGCACTTTGACCTCACATTTCCAGCCTCCAGAACTGTGAGAAATTAATTAATTAATTAATTAATTTATGTTGTTTAAACCCACCAGGAATTCGAGGTTACAGTGACCTATGATTGGGCCACTGCACTCCAGTCTGGACAGCAGAGGAAGGAAGGAAGGAAGGAAGGAAGGAAGGAAGGAAGGAAGGGAGGGAGGGAGGGAGGGAGGGAGGGAGCCATGTTTGCAGACAACCCATCTCTAAGCCTCAGTTTCTCCATCTGTGAAATGGGAGATAATAATAACTGTTTTTCCAAGATGATAGTGAAGATGAAATATGATAATGCAAGTAAGATGGGCACTAATCATGATTCCAATCCTTATTATTATATTCTTATCGCCATTTTATTCCAACAAGGATAGGGTTGGAAGGAAGGGAAAGAAGGAAGGACCCCTCAAGGAGGAAGTGGAACACAGGTACAAAGACTGAAAACCCTGAGGATTCCTGCGAGTCCATCCTGGCTTTTCCCAGGGAGGGTAGGAATTCTTATATTGATTTCAGTACTCTTTGTGGTGATTAGCACTGTATTGATCTTATTGAATAAAGAAAGACAAGAGAATTGCAAAATGGACATGAACAACATCCATCCTGGTTGGAATAAAATGGCAATAAGAATATAATAATAGATGGGTATATACAACCACAACGAGTAAGATGTGCGACGTTTGGGGGATGTACACGCTTAAAGCTCTGACCCGAGGGGGGAGGGGGGCATGGGCAATATATGTAACCTTAACACTTGTACCCCTATAATACGCTAAAATAAAAAAAATATAATAATAATGATTAGAATCATGATTTGTGCCCATCTTACATGCATTATCACATTTCGTCTTCACTATAATCTTAGAAAGACAGTCACTATTATTATCTCCCATTTCACAGGTAGAGAAACTGAGGCTTAGAGATGGGTTGTCTTCAAACATGGCCACTAATTCCTCTCATCCCAGTATGCAAGTGCCCTTCCTCCCACCAGGTATTGGAGTCCATTTCCCCTCCTGCTGAGCCTCAGCTGGCCAGTGGCTGCTTTCAGAAAAAGAATATACTGGTAATCCTATCACTCTGGGAGACCAAGGCTGGAGGATCATTTGAACTCAGGAGTTCAAGACCAGCCTGAGCAAGAGTGAGATCCTGTCTCTACTAAATTAGCTGGGTTTGGTGGCACATGCCCATAGTCCCAGCTACTTGGGAGGCTGAGGCAGGAGGATTGCTTGAGCCTAGGAGTTTGAGGTTGCTGTGAGCTAGGCTGATGCCACAGCACTCTAGCCTGCACAACAGAGTGAGACTCTGTCTCAAAAAAATAATAATAAAATAAAAAAGAACACTGGCAGTTTCCATTTCTGCTGTCTTAGAAGGCAGTTGCCATGTAAAGAGGCCTGACTAACCTGTTGAGAGAGAAAGGCCATATGGAGAAAGGCCACATGGAGAAAAGGGCCCAGTTTTTATGGGAAACTTAGAAGAGAGAGGGAAAGACTCAGCCAGGCCCCAGCAATTCCAACTCCCCCGGACATGAGATGCCAGACATGTGAGTGGGGCCTTCTAAGTCATTCCAACCCTGGCCAAGCTCACTGATGAATGCTGCATGTGAGTGACCCCAGACAACACCACGTGGAGTACAAGAATGACCCAGCAGATGCACAGAATCCAAATAAATAATAAAATAGTCATTGTTTCAGGCCACCAAGTTTTGGAGTGTTTTGTTATGCAGCAACAAATATCTGACCCCCACTGCTAAATTTGACTGGCTTAAAAAAATTTTTAAAAAATAAAAATAAGTAAATAAACAAATATCTGAAATGAAAGTTTAGAAGCTTGCCCAGGGTCATACAATTTGTAAGTGGCAGAGCCGGGACTTGAGGCCAGGTCGTTCTGACTGTATTGCCCATGCTCTTAGCTGCATGGCCAAAGATTATAAATCATTAAGATAGAGATTTATTAGCAGAGATCCACTAAATCACAAACTATGAGAGCTGAAAGAAGAACAAGGAAGGGAAGAACAAGAAGGAGGAGCACACCAAGAGTGGAGAGGATCTTCTAAGAGCTTGGGGGAAAAAAAGCTTTTATTCACATATTTATTGAACACCTAAAATCCTTGAGGCAGTTTTGTAGGTGCTCTGAGGGATTCAGAGGTGAATGCAACAGGGTACTTGATCTCAAGAAAATAGAAATTTAATTAGGGAGGATAAAAGTGAATAAAAATAACAACCATACAATGTGGAATGGTGCAGCCACTATGAAAAACAGTTTATTTAGCAGCTTCTCAAAAAATTAAAAATAGAATTATCACATGACCCAGCAATTCTGCTTTGAGCAAAAGAATTGCTCAAATAAATATTTGTACATTCATGTTCATAGCAGCATTATTCACAATAAGCCCAAAATGTACAAGCAACCAAAATACCATGAACATTTGAGTGGATACGCCAAAGGTGGTATATATATACAATGGCACATGATTCATTCTTTGTTTTTTTTTTTTTTGAGACAGAGTCTCACTCTGTTGCCTGGACTAGAGTGCTGTGGCATCAGCCTAGCTCACAGCAACTTAAATGTCCTATGCTCAAGGCTAGCAATCCTTCTGCCTCTGCCTCCCAAGTAGCTGGGACTACAGGCATGCACTAATTTTTCATATTTTTTTTAGTTGGCCAATTAATTTCTTCCTACTTTTAGCAGAGATGGGTCTCGCTCTTACTCAGGCTGGTCTCGAACTCCAGGCCTTGAGCCATCCTCCTGCCTTGGCCTCCCAGATGTGGGATTACAGGCGGAGCCACCACCCCGGCCAGATTCACTCTTTAAAAGGAAGAAAATAGGCTGGGCATGATGGCTCAGCCTGTAATCCTAGCACTCTGGGAGGTCAAGGCAGGCGGATCACTTGCCTCAGGAGTTCGAAGCAGACTGAGCAAGAGTGAGACTGTCTCTACTAAAAAAAAAAAAATAGAAAGAAATTAGCTAGACAACTAAAAATATATATATTTTAAAAAAAAATTAGCCAGGCATGGTGGCACATGCCTGTAGTCCCAGCTACTCGGGAGGCTGAGGCAATAAGATTGGTTGAACTAAGGAGTTTGAGGCTGCTGTGAGCTAGGCTGACGCCACAGAACTCTAGCCTGGGCAACAGAGTGAGACTTTGTGTCTAAATAGATGAATAAATAAATGAATAAAATGCTGGACACATGTACAATATGGGTGAACATGATCCCAAGGCAAATAAACCAGTCACAAAAGGACAATATTGTACATTCCCACTTATATGAGGTACCTAGAGTAGTCAAATTCACAGAGACAGAGAGTAGAATGGTGGTTGCCAGGGGCTGGGGGGAGGGGATGGAGAGTTACTGTTTAAAGGGAACAGAGTTGCAGTTTGGGCAGATGACAGAGATCTGGAGAGGGATGGTGGTGATGGTTGCACAACAATGTGAATGTACTTAATGCCATTTAAGGGTATACTTAAACATATGGAATGTATATTTACCACAATAAAAAAAAATGAATTCTTAATTTTTAAGAAAACACTTTTTAAAGCAGAGAGTTGTGAGGGAATAAATAAAGCCGGCATGAACGGTGGTGAGGGCGCCTCACAGGCCAGGCTCTGAACGGGCTCTGTGCACCCAGCCTCCCGGTGACCCGACGGTAAGTAGCGTTGCCCAAATAATGCCAGCAAG